GTCCATAAACCACTGGAAGGATTTACAATTTAAACGCTTCTTCAGCGCCAATTGCTCGCTTATGTCGCCCATATCGAGATACCGGGCCAGCGGTTCTCTTGTATAGAAGTATTCCTTGTGTGTATCGTCAAACCATGTCTCAATGACACGTTTGTAATTGATTGTGATCAACGGGCCCTTCTTTGCCTGCGCTAATTTGCCGAAGTTGTAAGGCATGAAGCCGCGATAAACATGGCCTACACGCGAACACGGAACCCACTCAATGCTGCCACCGCACTGCCATATTTTGAAGCTCAACTCAAAGTTTTCGCCACCCCATACCAATAAACCTGGATCGTATGCACCCAATTCCAAAAAGTATTCGCGATTAATGGCAAATAGACCACCAGCATGTGTAGGACTGCGATATGGCTCTGAATTGTGAGCACGGCGTCTTTGTTCCCGTCTAGGCACTTCGTTTTCTTTGTACAACATGCCCCATTCAAATATTCCGCGAAAATGCGAATCGCCACCATAAACAGGGCGATACTCGAAGGTTTTATGATCAATCCCATCAATAATAGGCACAGTCATGACAGTTCGATCCCGGTATATGGGTGCTAAGAGCGGTGGTAACCAGTTCGTATTCACTTCACAATGAGCATCGAGAAAAACAATTACTTCGCCTGTAGGTAAAGAAATAAAATAGTCATAAAAAAATCGATGTAAAACAACTAAACATTACATTACCTGTGGCTTCTTGTGCACCCCTCGAGCGTGTACGGATAAGTCCTTCGCGTTCTTCATTGCGGATCAGTCTTACTAATCCATCGAATTGAACCAGATACTTTTCTAATTTCTCACGTAAGTCTTGCTTGTCTGAATAATCATCAACCAAAATAATTTCATGCAATACATGTTTCGGTGAGCGGTCAATCACTGAATGAACAGTGCGCATAAGCACTGAGAATCCTTCATTATGAAAAACAACAATGACGCTAGTTTTTGGTAAATCATATGGATAGTCCCAACGTTTACACTCCTCTAAACGCGTATCACGCACAGAACGATGCATTGATATCTCATCGGAGCATGCGATATTCATGCCATATTCCATTTCTGACTCGTCTGCTTTATTCTTCTTGTCAGCAGAGAGTTGGTGTGCTTCGCCATTTTCGCCTGGTCCGGAACGTTCCTCTGCATTTTTCGGTTCGAAATTACCAAGTCCTGAAAACAGCAAAACAGTTACTTAATATATTATTCTAACAAAAATACTTTTAAAATACTTCAAATGGTATATTTTTGGTAGGTTTTCAATAAGTAAACACAGAGCGATACTAGCATTCTAAAGACAAAATGAAGGTACAATATGTATGTATGTACATGCACCCATATATCAAACATGTAAAATAACCTTTCTTATGTTAACACAGTTGGCTACTGGCTTTCTCTTTACCTTAACCAAGTTCAATGTTAGTTTTTTTTTGTGTATGATATATTAAAGCGCAGCAAGGTCAGTGGCAGTCAATGAACTTTATTACTAAAATACCGGCTATGATAAAACAGGTAAAATCTTATAAATAGAAGATACCTACCTAAAGATAAATTAAAATTATTTATTTGTCTGAAACAAATTAACATACCTTCGACAAGTTTCGGCACCTCACGTGGCCTTCCCTCTAATTTCTTGTATATGGATCTTGCGGGTTTGCCATGGAAGCCATTTGGTCCACGCTTGGCATCGTTCCATGTTACCAGCAGATAAATTAGCGGCAATATGATCAAACAGCAAAAGATTAAGCGGCAAAGCCGGCCTCCGCGTACATTACTAACACGCATTTTCAATAGAAACTGAAATTCGCAAGATAATTTGATATTTTCTAAAGATATTTATCAACTCCGCTGGCAGCCGACATTCGTATCTGTCGACGTGTCGCAAGCGCGGCTCAAGCTGCTGCTGCCCCAGTTGATACCAAGAAAACCAATAACAAAAACACGGGCGACGAAAGCTAGTGGATGAGAACGGACTTAGAAACGAGTATTTCAAGCGATTAAAAGAGATTTTTTCTAACTTTTCCACACATGTACTAAATTGCGAGAGTTTTAAAACTCATTTTTATGGCTTATTTAATAAGTTCACTTTTTTTAATCAAATATAAGCACAGGTGAAATAAAACAAGTAATTTGCAAATATACCTTCTGAGCAGAGCTGCCAGATCTTAAGAACGATTTCATTTGGTTGGACAAATATTGCGATAAAATAAAAAAATTGGGAAAGAAGCAGGGCTGCCAACTTCCCTCAAACCACGCCGTTTTTTTCAATTTATCACAAAGACCCAAAATGGCTCTTTTGGAAAATATGAATATTTTAGTAAATTTTTGTGATATCCTTTGCATGTACATACTTTTTTTTCAACTAAAATTTTCTAATTTCTATAGTGCATACAATTGGTTTATCTTACTTTGGCACTGGAATTTTGTTCTAGAAATGTGTTTCTGATATTATTGCTGAATGGGGAGAATAAGAACGAATATCACCTCTTTTGGAACTTTTATTTTATAGCTTAGTATCCAGCTCTTAAGAAAAGCAAAAACTCCATATAAAATGACGTACAAGAAATGGTTAAGAAATTTTCTTGAGTCAAATTTCCTTAAGGCAGTACGCAGTTCTTCAGAAATTTAGTACGCTTTCTACTACGGTTTTCTAAAGTTTTTTGTGAAGAAAGAGCATAAGGCAACCCAGGTTTGCAACAGAAATATATGCCCGTTCCATTATTTCTTGAGGAAAGAGTGAGGCAACAGGCTGTGAGGTATCAAAAATGTCAAAATTCCTTGGACACACACGCGAAATAATGGCAATTTTTTCTTGACCGTTTTCTTAAGAACTGGATACTAAGCTTAAATTTGATACTTTTTTATCGTAAATATGGTACTTCATAGCTAAGCAGAGTGGGCAACCCTGGACAGAAGCATCTGTTTTGCAGAAATATTGCGCAATATTTTTTAACTCCTTCATGGCCATGACCATGGGTGCCACACGACAAAAAATTTTCTGACCAGAATTTCCAAAAAAAAAATACCTAAAAGTTGTCAAGTAAAGAGCGAAATACACCACACAAGCGGTTTGACAAACCAAGCGAAATTTCCCTTTGCTTCAAGCCATTTGTGCTGTGTATGGGGGTGTTTGAAGGTTTGACGGCGGTTTGTCAAACCTTCAAACACCCCCATACACAGCACAAATGGCTTGAAGCAAAGGGAAATTTCGCTTGGTTTGTCAAACCGCTTGTGTGGTGTATTTCGCTCTTAAAGAACAACGTTTTATTATACAGTAAACTGTAAAAAACAAACCTCAAACAATAAATTGTTTTATTAAACGAAAACCAAACATATGAGGCTATGAGGATCAGAGAGGCATATCCACAACAAAATTTTTAGTAATATGAGAGAGAAAGATCTATAAAAATAAAATGCGGTATTTTACAAAAACAATTTCCACCTACGTGATACTACATATTATAGTAAAAGAATCCTATGAAAGGAGTTGTTGTAAAAGAAAGCCCATTTCGTTTTAAAAAATTGTGATGAAATTTCAATTTAAATGACTCTTCACCCAATTAGGATCGAAAGTTTTGGGGAGTAACATCGATACACCTATATTTCGATGCATCGGAAAAATTAGCAACGATGCTAAAATGGCTACATTACTTTATTCATTCCAATCGTTTGGAATAAACTGTTTTGTTTACTTATTCTTTAGAACGTTCCTGATGATATGTTAACGTATATTTCAAACGCATTCTGTTTATTCTGGCTGTGAAATAGGATTATCTGGAATGTATGAAGAAATGCAGCCAGTAAATCGCCAGAGAAACTTCAGGGCTATTCGCAATTCGGTTCATAAGAGCTGACAAATTTATGCAATTGCAGAAATATGCCATGTGAGCGGCCTTTATTAAACTGTCATGGTAAAACTTTTTTAATCAGTTGATAGAAATGTCAACCAGAGTTGCAAGGCATAGCATTTTTATGCTATGGATTTTCGGTATTGCAAATTTGTCAAGCCATAACAAATGCAAATGCGTGTATTTTATTTGTGTATTGCAAATAATTTGCAATACAAATTTGCAATGCAATGATGCTAGGCCATTTGCACCTTATCGCGAATAGCCGTATCGATATAACGATAGTCTACGATGTTTTACAATTTCTTACCGGCCGTCTTCACCTACTTGAAAATCTCGCTTGCAGTTTACTTTTTTTCTAGCAAGCGAGGTGCGCCGCAGTGTTGCCACACATAGGCTTTTTCTACCAAGTAGGAAGGTTTATTTCCATTTGGTAGGTTGGTAGATTAGATTGGATTTTGGTAGGTTTTACGACAATAATATTTATTTGCGAAAAATAGAATATAAATATTAATCTCCAAACATTTTAGCAACCTTGAAAAGGACAAGTCCACCATTGTCCCATTTACCAAACGAAGGAAAGTGAACTTGACTAGAAGAGCGAAGTATCTAGGGATAACTCTAAACAAGAGGCTCAGTTGGAAAGTTGAAATAAATTACTTCAACTGAGCTAATAACATTTTTAAGGGAACCTATTGGAGCCATTTCAATTTTCTGCTCAAAGTCACTTTTTTTTCTTGTACGATTGAAAAACAGGAATGATGGTTCAATGTACTAGATATGTCAGTTTTCAAAAAACATCGAATGGATACATCGACTATATCGAGTGGAAAATTTTCGATGTATCGATGTTTTACCGAAATCCCTATTCTGTTCAAATTTTTCCAACGCGCCCGATGGCGCTTTGTAAAACGTAAACAACAATGCGTAAAGTCTCGCAACTTCCGCGCACATCCCGGGTTAATGAAAAAATAATTGATTATTATCTGAAATTCGGGCAGGAGCGTGATTTAGAGAAATATATGCGTCTATATTCGCCATGCGGACACCACTGTGAAAGCAGGAGCCGCAGTACCACAACCATCAGCAGTTGTCACAGTGAGGATGAAGGACGCATTTTCAGACGATTGTTTGATCAAGATACAGAAACATCTACAGAAAGCGATTCCGAAGCTAATGAAGTCATTGTACCAATTGATTTGGAAACAAAAAATATGCCTGAAAAATATAAGAAGCCCAAGGGAGATGAGGTAAGTCGAACTCATATATGTATATGCCTAGAAATTCATACATACATACATATGTATATGGGTATGTATAATTTTGTAACTTTCTCGTCTAGTGTACGTCGTCTGCTCCTGACCTGCACACGCCGCCACCACGTAGGCAAAAAGACACTGACACAAGACAAACGCAAACTCCTGAGTCCATAGCCAAGTCCCACAGGCGGCTCGAATGGGATTCATTAGGGGATGTGGGCTATAAGAAGTCTTTATCAACTAGTAATATAAGCATTTTAGAGCGTTCTGTACTTAAGGAATATTTTCAAGAGATATCATCCATTAGCTCTTCGAAAAAAGAGGCAAAAGTTACTAATGATGGCGCAAATCAGCATAAGCAGGACAAACAAAAAAGCACCCATAAAGCCGAAAAAAATGGGGCCACAAAAATTGATGCCAATCAAGCTAAAAAAGATAATAAACCCAAGGAAACAAATCAATCGAAACAGTATGTAGAAAAGTATACTCTCAGCCGCAGCACTCCACCCCTGGCTTCTAGCACTATGATGACTCCAAAAAATCAAATAGATATTTCTAATGCAGGGTCACGACCCAAACTAGTGTCCACAGGCACATCAATGTCGCTACAGAAGAGATATGATCAATACGCCCAAACATCACTGCAGCGCTTGCCTCAACTTGCATCACGAGAAGTTCAAGTTACTATGTCATCCGCTGCATCAGCAACATCTTCCACCGCTGCCGACACTGCGACACCCAGCAGTTTCGATTATTATTCCTCGCGATCGACACATTCTACCACTGATGTTGAAGTTCCCATGAGGAAAGGGTCTATAAATAATAAACCTAAACATATAATGAAAACCAAAGAGCGCCAAAAACAACAACAACAACAAAAACAAATGCATCCATTCGTGGCAGGATTACATGAAATGCTAGCTTCTAATAAAACGGTTAGCTCAAAGAAAGATAGTATATCTAAAAACGCCAGTGAAACGAACTTACTACAAGTACACGACACTTTAAAACAAATGCTTACTGAAAATAAAGAAAATTCTACAGCATCTTCGTCATTATTAAATTCTCCACAACTGGATTTAGGCATCCAACTGCTTTGTTCACTCATAGATGCGCGAAGCTTAAATCAAAGGCAAAAGAAAAAACTTGTGCGAGATATTGTAAAACGTATATCCACACTTAATATAGATGACAACGTCGCCGATGGAGGGGAACGAATGGCTAACCCCTGCGAAAATGTTGTATCTGCTCAGTCCAGTGCAAGTGGAAAAAATATATCAACAAATCCTGTTATGGAGGCTACAATTAAATCTACTTCGACCGTTACGATTGCGAGAACGGCGAAAGGTCCAATCGATATCAGCGATATGCTCCCAAATAGCACTAGCGATGAAGGAGGAGAACAGCTGGTACATGTAAATGGTAAATGATTAAAAATGTTCAATATATGTATGTATTTGTCTTAGTTAACCTAAATTTTATTTTAAGTTATAAGCAAACCATCGCCACCGACAACGTCAGCCAAAGCATTAGCGAAAATGGATAAAGAAAAAAGTAAGAATGTACGAAAAACACAAGCAATGCAGACGCGCATGCGTACGGACTCACATGCTGAAAATGGCAATCCGCCAAGGCTGACGGATCTAGTTGGAAGTACTATAAAGGAAACATCTAAAAGTTTAGTAAAAGCGCTTACAAGTGCGGAGTTGAATTTAGATGCCCACTCGGACAAAGACTCCTCTGTCTCAAAAGCAAGCACCACTTCTAGAGATGTTACTACACAGAAGACGCTAATCAATGTAGAAAATGCTGGAGCTTCAGACACAGATTTAGACGTAGCAGGCAATTCAACCATGCGCGAGTGGTTGAATCCTATGACGAAATCTGAAATTGAATATGAAGAGAAAAAGCTGGAACTTGCACGCCACGCCGCCAAGCGTGATAAAATATTAAAGCGCGTAAATGGCGAAAAAATGGATACCGAACGAAGATCGCAACTAAAGTGGATTCAGTCGGAAATTCAACGCTTAGAAACATTGCGCTCTCTGTTGTCCAAACCGAATATGGAGCGCGATCATGAAGGGGAAACTATACATTCGACAATTAATGACGCAACTGCACATGAAGCTGACAAGTTATACGACACTGTTTTCTCAGATCAGCAAATAGCATCTATGACAACCCCGACCACATCCTCCACACTAAGCAGTGGTAACAAACCGATGCAGGAAATAGAAGTGATAATTGAAGAATCAAACGAAGATGTTATAGTGCTAGATGATAAAATAAAGCGTTCGAAGCAACGCAAGCGAGAAACCCAAACCGTCTACGATAAACCCACCGAAACGGCCAACACGTATGACAATTTAACTGCCAGCAAGGCACGTTTTCGTACTGTGACCGAAACAGTTACTACGAAAGAAGAACAAGTGCTGCCAACTGAATCTGTACGGTCTGGTACACCCGTACCGTCATCACCACCAAAGCAATTGTCCGCTAGCAAACAACGCCAGCAGCAACGCTCCAAAATCGATACGCCTTCCTATGACAGTAATGACGGGGAGAGTGTTGGCTCATTTGCAAAGCAGCGCAAGCGTGAATTTCTAGAGCAATACCGCAACAAGAAGCGCATCCATTATGAGTCATTGCTACATCAACAACAGCAGTTGTTAATTCAACAGCAACAGCAGATTATTCATGAATTGCAGCAGCGCTGCAATGTAATGTCGCATACGCCGGCAGGTGCGGCAGTTGGCCATTATTCTGTACCGCTTAAAATGCACAACAACTATTGTCCATGTGTCGCAGAGCAGCGGCCATACCATCAAGCATATTTTCGAAAGCCATGCAATGACATAACTGCCGCACCGCCACGCCCACATACACAACCGCAATGTGCGCCATGTCCTCCTTGTCCGCCGCGAGCTCAAACACACCAGAGCGCTGAAGTCAATTATTCACGTAAAACACAAACAATTCATAGCGAACAGTCAACTTCGTCAATATTTTGCATTTCCTCGGAAGTCTCCATACCAATGGGCTCAAGCAACACAACTAGTTCCACAACAACAACTACACATCAGTATGATGACGTCGCAGGCGTGGGCGCTATTACAGCCGGAGTTGGTGTGCAAACTGGCGCCTCTTTACGGCGCACGCAACCTATTTTTGGCAGGCGGTTGCCCTATGACCACAATCAAGCAAGAAATTTGCCAAACTGGACCGCCTCCTATCCGCAGCCGGTTTGTTCGGGTCAATCGATTAGTGTGCAAGTAAAGCCAAAAGCCATAGCCTATGTTATACAATTTGACAAGAAGACAATGTCAACCACCACAACTACGACAACATCAGCATCGCAACCCACTAACTCTATTTCGAAGCCCAGCAATGAAATGAGTGATTTGATGAACGCTGAACCGAAACTATGCGCCCTGCAAGATTACTTAGTACGTGCCAAACCCCAATTTGTAGCCCATACGAAGGAGCGTAAGGCTATACTTAATCAAATACAAGCGCTGCGTCAAGAACGTGGAAGAGAACTACGTGATATAATTGAGAATGCAAGTGAAAATTCCATGCATAGCCGATTGCAACGTTTGCCACCGCCTGCAACAAGTGAGAATCAACTGCGTGTTTTACGCTTTGGAATTTTTGATAATTTTAAACTTTTTCTTGAATATTTTAGAACGCTTGCGCATCTTTGCCACTAAAGAAATGAAAGCAATTACACAAAGACATTTTCAAAATTTGCCGGAGGTTGTGAAGCAACAAGAGCGTGTACGCGAGGAACGCCACCGAAACGGGAATCGCTTAATAAGAGATATTTTCAATCAGGTTAGTTGTACTTTAACTGCTTATATCTAAATATATAAAAAATGATTTCTTTATTTTGCAGCGCTTACAGCGACGTGTTCGCACTGGAAAGTTATCATTAAATCACAGCAAAACAGTGATTTAAAGACGCTATCAAGACAGTAACCAAATGTTTGTGAAGAAATTCAACTTTTTAGCGCACAATATATTTCTTTAGCGAATTTAATATTTAATAAAAATGATAATATATGAATGGACCGTAGCGAAATATTAATGAAAATAGGAGCATGGAAGTTGATATGCCTTTACAAGAAATCTGTCAGCATTAGCTGTTGCAGATGAACGCCGTAACCACACAGATAAGTTAGGGTCTGAACCAACGGCGACGGGCCCCAAACATCGACGCTCCTTGTGGTAAAATATCAGAGACAGACTTAACAACTACATAGCTCTCTCTCGGCTGAACTCAGAAGTGGCAAACACCTGCATCCAACTACTTTGTCCGCATTCTCGGCCTCAGACTCTAGTCTAGTCTGGGTATGAAGAGGTACCCTGGGGAGTTGAGCACAGCTGCACTTCCACAAGTTTGACCCAGTAACATTTTCGATCACAGTGAGTTTTTTTGTTATTAATTACTTTATTTTTTAATTTATTTTTATTAGCATTCGGTTATAATTTAATTTCAAATATGGTTTACATACATATATGCAATGAAATAATTTAACCATTTATCTCGAGGAAATCAACAATATTATATTATAGATATTTTAACTTTTGTTTTAACTAATTGGACTTTTGACATAACTTTACTGGCTATTCTTCACTCTGAAACAAAATGCTTTACAAAAAAAAATATCAGCATAAGCATGACGCACTAACTTACGCCCGAACCTAATAAGTTTGGAATTGCTTGATTTTACTATTTTAATTATAAGAGTTTGAAAAAAAAAAAAAATGCATCTATAGATCGAATGCATTACAATCTGTTAGAAAAATACGCTGAATTCGCAAGGGGGTAGTTGGCAGGGATTTGACGCTGAAGTGATGGTCCTTAGTGGGAGGTATAACTTGTCAGCTAATGTTCGCTATGTGAATGAGGGCATTTTCTCAATCCTATCAATAGGTTTGTGTTTTGTTTTTTAGCAATACAATTTTCAAAGGTATTATATTTTTGAAAAGAAAACTCAGCATTCTCTCTAACAGATTGTACGCATTTAGTTATATATAATACTACTACAAATTATATTTACAATTTAATATTTAAAGAAAATGTACTACAAATATGAAGTTAACTCCCTTAACACTACTAATTGAGACTTTGTTTTAAAGTTTCTTACAGCATACTTAGACACTCATAACATTTGAAAGATTTTTTTACGATTTAACAAGCAGGTAAATTGGTTTTAAAATTGCCTAATCTTTACTAACAAAAGCAAGCTAAATGGTTTACTTTAATATAATAGTTATTTATTAACAATTAACAAGTCAACCAGTTTTGGCGTAGTCATCATCGAGCGGACTTTATGAGGGCAAGGCAGAGAAGCGCCTCACTTTCGATTTTTTCTTTTATTTAAGAGCTTGTGTGAAATCTTCTTTCGGAAGTGAGAATACATAGATTTCATGTGAATGTTGAATCTGCATGTTTGAAAAGATTTGACGACACTGATTTTCTTTACTATGTAATTCAAAAATTTACTTAACATTTTTTGGAATGTGGGGATTTATGACGAATGTGTTATATGTATATGATACTATTGCAAATACAAGTATGCATCTTTGTACAAATGCACTACATAAATTTGGTTATGAAATAAGTATTAAAAACGAAAGCCCGTATGTAGGACGGTTTAAGGAAGCGAAGCGAGGCTATCAGGTCTTAGAGGTGTTAGTGTTAAGAAGGATGTTGAAACACGAAAGTCTAGCATTACTTATAATATAACACAATTTCCGTAACTGTAGCTTTTGGGCAATAGGTACTCATAAACTTCATACCACTCAATCACATATCACTCAGTAACTTTTTTGGTCAAAAATTCGCATTTAATACCTTTATTACGTTTTAATTCCATTTTAAAGCCTACAAAATGTTGCTAATTCTTATTTCGTTCAATCTGTATGTATGTACCTTAGTAAAATTCTCGTGTAATACTATATATGTAATTGATGCTCTTCTATCAAATCACTATTCTAGTATGTTTCTTTACTCGATTTAGTCCGGAAGATATTGTAAATGTGTGTACGGGAACGACTTCTGACTAAATACTGTACACCGAACGAGTAAAGGAACAGTGAGTTTGTTTTCTCACTATTTAATGGCTAGCTTGAAAACCGTCCACCAACACTGCTTACAATATGGGCTAAAAATTGCCTTCCTTCAAAGTAATTAATGTTGCTCCACCAAATGTATGCATTTATGTATATCGCTGCATGTGCACATGCATATTCTTTTAAATGATTAGCATTATTACGTAATAGAATAAAATATTTTGTTTTTCATTAATTTTTTTGATCATTTTATGTACTTAGCTTTCCACTTGTATGTATGTATGCATATATGTATTTTTGTTAAGTTATTACTTTAACACAATTTCTTTTCTTTATATTCAGAAAACGTCTTTAAGCTCCACTATCGAAAAATTTAATTCTCTACGGTATAGTTACTGTTCTTTGTTACTCATTCCCAAGAAATTTTCTTCCTCCATTTTGGAGAGGAATTTAATAGCTCGATGCTGGGGCTCAGTTTGCCGCGCCATATCAATGAGACCGAGCAATGTTTTAATTCCAATGAATATCCTTTAAAACAAAAGTTATTAATTATATTGTGCCCAGAACTAAGCTATATAAACTATTGTTGCTCACCTCTTGCCCGCCATCTTTTTGCCAATAGCCTGTAATTCACCCTTGCTGAAAATCTCTGCATGCTCAAGCACGGCTACAACGTGTTCGGCACTTGATAGATTTGGTACGTGTAAGCTGGATGTGAAGGCGGTCAACATTTCCATTTCCTCGAGCACAGCCCTAAAGAGTTATTGATAAAAAAAAAGGTGTTACTATTAGAAAATCATACATATTTGTTGTACAAAGAGTTCATTACCGTCTACTTGAAGTGACCAAAATGAGCAATTTGCGTCCCTTTGGTGGCTGTTTCTTGAGCAAAACCAACAATGCTTGCAATGTGAGATTCGAATAACGTGGTCCAATTGAACCATAATCCAACAAACGTTCTACATTGTCTACTACAATGCAACTCAACGTAGAGCGGTAAGCATCATCGAAAATCTACGGTGCAAAAAAAGAGAGATAAGAAAAAACTTAAAATTGTTTTAATACATGTTACAGCACATTCCAAATTTACCTTTCGAATGTGCAAGCATTTAGCTGATTCGGTATAGCCGACCATATCTTCTGGTGAGCACACTTTAACAAACGGGAAATCCGACATTTTTGCCAATTTAGCAGCCAGCGCTGTTTTGCCAGAATTGGGTGCGCCCTCAATGAGCACTGACACCAAGCCAGAGCTTTCGGTGGCCTTTGCCTGCTGCACATACAGCATACCGTCCTCAAGTACACTGGCCACAGGTTGTCCCCAATTGATGATACCACGTGAAAGCATATTATCCAAAATTTCTTGTGCCGTGCCAAAAGCCTACAAAAGCACAATTAGTCAAAAGCATTTTCAATTTTCAAAGCACTCTTCAACTCACCGGTTTAATATCATTCTCCAACGCGTGCAGGAAGTCAGTTCGTGTTACTTTCAGTTTCTCCATTGCTTGTGGATCCACATGTACCTTGGCATCAGCTTTGATTAATCGATTCATAGCGGTGGATTGTGCCGCACGCACCAAACCCTCCAACTCAGCACCACTAAAGTTCTTTGTTAATGCAGCAATCTCCTTGGAATCGACGTCGGGAGCAATCTTGTTGAATTCGCGCATACGCTTTGTGTGTATGTTCAGAATTTGCACGCGACCCTCTTCGTTCGGCAGGCTGATCTCCATTTGCACTTCCAAGCGACCGGGTCGCATCAAAGCTTCGTCAATCATGTCACGTCTGTTGGTCATACCAATAACCAATATATTGTTTAGCTGTTCCACGCCATCGATTTTGGCTAGCAATTGATTAACCACTGTGTCGTGTACGCCACTATTGCCAGCGACCGAACCACGCGCTTTGCAGATAGCATCGATTTCATCGAAAATGATGATATGCAAACCGCTGTTGGGGCCGAGCTGCAGAGAGAAATCGTTTATTATTTGTTATTTTTTCTTTGTAACATAATTTTTCTATACTTTTGTTTAAGAATAATATAAAAAAAACACATATCGCTCATTTACTAAAACCAGGGATCGAAAATAATATTTTTTTCGATATTTAAATTCAAAGTTATTTGGAAAGAATTCAGTTTTTAGGAATAACGGTAACATTTTTTAGTTGAATTGAATTTTTGCTAAAACTTTATAAGTGGTATATAACATTTGTATATCGTATTAAAGGCATTCTTAATTCTTATTGAACGATATCAAAAATTTCGAAATCCGTGCTTTTGTTTTCAAGATATTTGAATTCAAAAAAAAATTATGAATTTAATCTTTGACCCTTGATAACTTCTGTAGTTTTGTTTCCCATAAAAAAATATATCGTTATACTTGCTTCAAAAACCTCTATCGACGTCCTTGTTCAAAATTTGTCGCCCCGCTTATCGTAATCGTGCCCTGCCGTCTATTTAAGCTTTTAGACAAAAAAAAGTCTAGAGATCAGCGGTAATTTTTAGCCGTTTGAAACTTGCACTTTATTCTACCAGAAATCAATGGGCAACAAAACTGCATACTCAGAATCTTTCTGGAAAATCTAATTAAAAACTCTAGAAATTTTTACGAAAGTTTGTTGAATTTTCTTTTTTAATATTGCACAAAGTTTGAAACTTGAATTTATACGGGTTTTGTTAAAGAATAAACTATTTTTATCAAAAAATAAGATAACAACAAAAATAATATATTAAAACTTGTTAAAATGTGGTGCGGCTATAATTATTTCGACCACTGTATATCCACTTTCCTTTGCACTTTACTTACCCTTTTCTCTTCCTCCTCGGCCTCAGCAAAGAGTCGTCGTATATTTGCTTCCGATTCGCCTACATATTTGTCCAAAATTTGTGGACCATTGACAATTTTTGGTTCGCGCGCATTCAACATAGTGCCAATTTGACGTGCCATCAGCGTTTTACCAGTACCGGGTGGGCCATACAGCAGTATACCTTTGACGTGTTTGCAGCCCAGCTGCTCCACAAGCTCAGGGGGGAAGACACGCGATGCAAAAGCACGACGAAAGATGGCATTGAATTCTTTATCCAAGCCACCAATACCCATCTTGCCGAAATCCCAATCTGGATTGATGATACTCTGGCGTACTATTTTTCCTTTGGACTTGCCTTGTAAATTCAGCGAAGAATTCTCAGCTTTCTCAAATTGTACAATTGTATTGCCAAGTATACGACCAAAACGTACATTCTTTGAAGTCGTTTCCTTGCCCTCGCCAAGTGACTTTGGATCTACAGCTAAGGGAATATTTACAAAGATTCATTCAAATTGTTAACGATGATTTGAAATACGAGTATTAAGATATTTCTTTTGAGAAACTCTGTGGTTGTGAATAAATCGTTTTAAGGGCAAGAGACAACCTTTCGGTACCATTTGCTTAAATTGTGGCGGTAAAATAAACATTTTTTCAGGGCCCTTACTCTGTAGTTCGAATCGATAGTAAATTTGTTCGAATTCGAACGATTGGTACTAAAAAAGGATTAGGCGTTCGAATATAATTTCTTTTTGATTCGAACTACAGAGTAAGGGCCCTGCTTTTAAAATTTTAATAAACGTTGATTGCCTTTAACTGTAGTATCGATAGTTACATAGGTGGGGTGCGATAAAGCCATGCGAGATAACGCCATATGGCTCTATCTCCCATCCAATTGCGAGGTAAAGCCATATGGCATTATCACGCTTCGTATTGAGAGATAATGCCATATTTTTTTTTTTTTGTCAATTGTGAGTTNTTTGCTTGCTTTTAAAATTTTAATAAACGATGATTGCCTTTAACTGTAGTATCGATAGTTACATATCGACTGCTGAGTGGAAGATCGACCTATCCCGGCAGCCAGTACGAAAACGCACACGCTCAAAACACTTTTCAAGAGCGCCCTATTTCAAAATTTTATCTCAGAATTNGGGCCCTGCTTTTAAAATTTTAATAAACGTTGATTGCCTTTAACTGTAGTATCGATAGTTACATAGGTGGGGTGCGATAAAGCCATGCGAGATAACGCCATATGGCTCTATCTCCCATCCAATTGCGAGGTAAAGCCATATGGCATTATCACGCTTCGTATTGAGAGATAATGCCATATTTTTTTTTTTTTNTAAGGCCATATGGCGTTATCTCGCATGGCTTTATCGCACCCCACCGGATTTTGCCAGTTGGGACTATGACATGTCACCGATTTTTCCCTTTTACAGAATGCTTACACCTTCTTGAATGCATATAGAGCAGAAAATATTCCGTAAAAGGGAAAATCACATGAGAGATAAAGCCATACGAGATAACGCCATATGGCCTTATCGCTCTTTGAAATTGGAAATAAAGCCATACAGAAATTTTGGCGCGAATATGGCTTTATCTCTCTTTGAATTGAGTGATAAGGCCATATGGCGTTATCTCGCATGGCTTTATCGCACCCCACCAGTTACATATCGATTGCTGAGTGGAAGATCGACCTATCTCGGCAGCTAGTACGAAAACGCACTCTCTCAAAACACTTTTCAAGAGCGCCCTATTTCAAAATTTTATCTCAGAATTTGGTTAAAGAATGCCCTATCTCAGGATTCGGTTCAAAAATACCCATATATGTAATACTCCTATATTGGCAGTAGGAATGTTCGATATCGTATCGATTATTCTGAATATCGATATTTCATGGCACGATAATCGATTTTTTTAATCGATATTCCAAGGTCGATATATCGAAGACATCGATACTTTGCCCGCAATAGATATTTAAGTTTAAATTTATTTTCATCTATAAAAAAGTGTAATGGAAAATACTAAAGTAGGTTTAATCAGCAGCTTGTGTGATTTATTTAGCTTTTAAGTTTGACATACCGCTTGAGTCGACCGACATACCGTTTTAATCCTCAGTAAATATACAAGATGGAAATAACACAATTAGATGAGTTGATAGGCAGGTCTAATACTCTATTGAATTGGGAGTAGGATTTTCAGCATCGATTTTTCCGATATCGATATTGTTCAGCCCGATATATCGCCATATCGATTTTAGATGCAATGAATTAAATCGATTCATGATATCGATACGTTCTTAAATATCGAGCATTCCTAATTGGCAATAAACTCACAATAATTTAACAAATAATCACTTGCCAGATGTTAATGTAATGTTTCTTTGAAATCCAAATTCAATGGGAGTTGCCCCTTACTTTAGAGAACTAATTTGAAGTAAAGGCCAAAAGGAAGATATTGTATTTTTATAGTCTGTAGTCCTCATAATAACTCTTATTATTTTTGCTTGCCTAAATTCTCACTCAATTTCGTAAACATTCCTCGACAGAAATGTGTTAACGGTTAACGGAATTTTTTTCTCACACTCACCTTCCAAAGTTTTTACTGCAAGCCCTAGTAGTTTTTTGCCTTGAAAATCAAATACCAAAGTCTGCCCAACAGTCAATGGCATGCCAGCAAACTGCATTAAAAATTCCTTTGCCATCTGGTCAGAATCATAGGGCTCCTGTGATGTACTGTGGTGGAAAAAATTATCAAAACAAAAAAACATGAAAATTAAAATTTGGATATGAATAAATCAATAATGCAGTCAATCACTTACATTTTCTTTTGTAAGAAGTCTGTCTCGAATGATACAAGAGTTATGACATCGGAGTTGGCATCGAAACGATATGGTCTCACATCAATATCCTGATTAATGGAAAGGGTTGCCCATTTTCGTTGCACCAACGAAAAGCCTACATGACCCCTCGCTACTTCGTTGGTGTGTGCCAATGCAAATATATAATGTTGACCGGGGCCAGGTGATATGTCGGCATACCTTGAAAATGTGGAAGTTTAATTATTTTTAAAACTAAATACATAATGAATTCGTAAATCTATGAGTGGGGGGAGGCAATTGAGCATTTTTTATTTATGCATTTTTTCTTCAATAAATACCACCCCACACGTCGCCCTCTTTTTTCGTGTTACGTACTTAACATCTTCTGGAAAATCGTTGATATTCACGATGGCCTTGTTGGTCACCGACAATTCGTCCGTTGGACATTTCGTTGCTTTCAGACGCTATAAAAATATGCAAGTTATTATTTTTTTTTTTAGTTTATTGTATTTGTGTTGATATTTAAAACCGTTATTCAACCTACATAGGACATTTTCTTAGGATACACCTGCACAGCACGAATAACACACAATTATCGACTAAATCTGCTTTTGCTTGCGAAAGTCTCCAACCAGACTGGTAAGTTGGTGGAAAAATCCAGGGAAAATAAGGGTAGATGCTTGTTCTTATTCTTCTTACACCGAATATCGATCCATAAGATAGCAGATATGTATGTAGCTATGCACCTGCAATGCCAACAAATAGAAAACTTCTAAATTTGAAGTTAAATGTAAACAATTTTTAACAAATAAAAATTAGTTCGTAATTTGTATGGCAAAAAGTATGAACTAAAGCGTTCTAATACACCCATAATCTAATAATTAGGAGCTAAAAATTACATATCTTTATGCGTAAAAGTAGTGTTATTTTATAAAGCTTTTCGCTATCAACGCCTATATATAAGTATATTTATAAATTTATAAATAAAAGAATTTGGAACATCATATGCCCGAAGAGCCAGCAGATGACTGTGTGCAACCCTTTTAATTTAATTGCATTTTTTTCAGTCAGTACCGTTAAAACAGCTTCCGTCTATTTTAAAATATTAGTTGCGTTCCCAAACTTTTCTGGGTTAAAACCTGTAAAACTGTCAAAAGGCCAAAAAAGCCAGAGAACCGAGTGCGGGGAACGCTTTCTGGTAAATTCCTGTAAATTGCAAGAAATTTCTTGCGAGTTAGGGAACGCAACTATTGACCTATCGTTTGCTGCATGCTTGCTCCAAAATGCACTTAATATCGCATGCAATAAAAAAATTAAGTGTCATGCTATTGAGATTCGGTGTTGATGGAGGGTTGTCAAATGTATGTCAAAGTTTGTTTACGTTTGCATCAGCAACATTTTTTTCCATTGCTCACGGTTTGATTGCAAATCCGGGTTGGCCATAATGGGCTCGGGTATGAGATCAGTGGCGGCGTTATATATACACACATATGCCCCTTTGATATGCTTCGTCATATTTTTGGTTTCAATAGAAGAAGTCCGGGTTGTAGTCTCTAATATCCAAAACAAAACCACGTCATTTTTGCTTTAATTTCACAACATCGCTGGCGGGCGTACATACACCGCTGGCAAATGGATTCCGCGGAACATTATACGCAGCTTCACATATCCTTAGATTATTACTGCATTGCTAGCTGTTTATAGTCAACGAAAAAGTAGCCACGACGACGCATACTTTATGAGCAAGGACAGGAACGGTCTTTGGACGGTTTCTTGTGCGTGTCAGGCTGTGCTTTTATTAATGTTGTTCTTACCTATCCTTTTGGTATTAGCCGAATTAATTCCGTGACTTTTATAAAGATTTATACTTGTTTTTCACGCATTTAACACTTTTCCGCAAATAAACTTGTCCACTGATTGCTATTGAAATTTGCTGATGACATGTATGCGCAGAGATGCCAGAGTTTCCAAAAAATTCCCAAAATGATGGCAAATTTATCGGTGCACTGTTTTCATACATTTTACAAAACATATAGTTTTCTAAAATCGCATACATATCAGTGGTCATATGGAATAGTAGCTTAAGTCGGGAGGCTGGCTTTGATATAGTGTGCCATTTATAATTTAAACCACAAGAAGTATTTGATGACACATGTGAATATTGACTTGCTATTATCAGAACTATTCCTTTCACGTTTATCTGGCAAGAGTTATTCAACGGCTTGAGACCAATGCATCATTCGCAATCGTATCCTGCGAATTGCACATTATACTAAATCCTGTCTCCCGACTCATTGTTTTTCCGAATACGGTTAAGGAAATTTCAATTTTTGCAAAATCTTGAATGTCGTAATCAAATAAATTATTCTTACAGGGTTCGGGGGTTGGTTTTGGAGCAGATTCAACGCAAGGTGCTTACACCCCTATTGCGAGTGTCGACTAGTAGTAGATAAACGACTCTTATTCGATTACAATTACAAATACGGTGTTAGACTTTACAATTAAAAATATTCTTCTGCGCATAGACCCAAGTCCCATTAACACACACTTGTTTTATTCTAACTTATTTTTAATCCCATGTATACAATGCATACAATTATTAAAAACATAAATTTTTTAAAAGCGACTATATAAACAACATAATTAGTTTAGTTTTTTGACGAGTGATAGCAAACTTTACATCACAGGTAATTACGTCTGGAGTACTGTGATCCCTGATAACCATGCTGCGGAGCTCCGCCACCACCACTCGGCCCTGCTGGCATCGAGGCGGGCACATTTGATGGATAATGAGAATTTGAATTCAACGCTGGCCCTCCCCAAGCTGCAGCCGGTGGCATGCCATAGGGCCCCATTGCCGGCGGAAGGGGAGGAGGCACGACTCCAGATGGACCACCTGGAGCGCCATAACTATGCGTAGGTGCTTGCGGCGGGGCGGGTGTTGCAGAATTGTATAGTGAATGTATTTGATGGGTTGTGACCGGAGGCGGATATATGTTGTGATAAGTTGAAGCCATTCCGACCGTTGGTATAGCGGCAGGCTCACTAACCGTAGGCGCTATTGGCCCAGAGTTAGCGAGTGATTTGATGGACTGAATGTTAGTAAGCTCTGCAGCCGGTGGTACTACAGCGGATGATGCTGGTACTGTTGTCGTGGTAATAGTAGCTGGCGCTGGTTTTACTTTTGCAGCAGGTGAACCAGTGCTAGCTGTTGTTATTACCGGCTTTGTAGGCGTAGGGCTATCAGCGCGGCTTGGAGGTTTCTGAGGTGGACTGTTTGCCTCAGATGGTTCCTTTTGATTAGGTTGATAGAGATCCAAAACTTGATGGCAAATATCTTCAAGGATTTCCATTGTAACATCCGAAACGAACATGTCCCACCAGCGATTATGACTGGGCTGACGTCCCACCCAATCGACCACAGTGAATTTACTAAGCTTACTAGCGAGATGTATTAGTGCAACCGCTATTATCTCAGGCTCCCATTGCAGGCATACAACGGTACTTAAAGAGTCATTAACAAAGTTCCACGCCATTTGTACCATTTTCTGTAATTTAACTTGATCACCACGGAAGCACTTGGCATATTTAAGCAAAAACGTGTAGGGATGCTCCACTTGTAAGTCAAATTTAATAGTTTGCAACAAAATACGCTCTAATGTCATAACCTCCTAAAAAGTGATTGAAAAAGGTTTAATTATAAATGTACTAAATACATATTCGTAGTTTCAGTACTCACCTCTTTAGGATCATCGCCAAAGGAATAAAAATAATTGTCCGATAATAATGTCCTTGCTATTTTTATAATGTCGCGACATTTCTTCGGAGTCTCTTCAACTTTGCCAGCCAGAAAAAGGCAACAGCATGCAGTAACATATCGTGGAAAGCTTTTGAAAGAGTGAAACATATAAAATCTATGAAAGTATACTACGCCGGTAGCCATCGTGTTGTGACCCAGTCCCATTTGTGTGCCACAATTCATAATAAAGCGAGCACCTTCTTTGCGATACCGACGTTCTGTCTCAAATGATATGCCATCGAGGATGGAAGGTGTATCACGTAAATCCTTTTTATCATAATACCAACAAGGCATAATTTTAAAATGCTTATTAAATTCAAAGTGCTGGAATAATTAGAAAAAATTACTCTGTTTCACACAAATCGTACAGAACAACTGTTGACAAAGGTGACGTTTATCTGTTTATAAAAACGAGCTGCCATTACGTTGTCCATACAGGGTCGCATTTCTATACGTTTGCTAATATTAGGTGTGTATAGTAACAAAAAGTAAGTACTAATTTGTACTGGAACCTGCAAGATTTTATTGGAAAAGTGTATAATAACCATATACATATGTAATACTCCTATATTGGCAGTAAGAGCTAGGGGTGGGCTTTAGATTGCTAACCCCGGAGNCAATTTACACGTGCAAAATAAAAGGAACACATACATATCGTCGCCTGGGTCAAAGATTGTCGTAAGCGCCATTTTGACGATTTTTAGTTCTAGATGCAGTTATATATTTTAAAATAAGGTCTTTCGATTGGTGTTATCAGTTCTTAGATATATCATTTAGTTTCCGAGATATTGACTACAACTTTTTCGATAATTTAGTAAAAATTTAGTTGGTAGTGCAGTCATATTAAACTAATCAATATCTTAAAAATGGCGTTCTCCATTTTTGGATATCTCCTCTAGTTTCCGAGATATTGAGTAAAAAGTGTCGTTAATTTGGTAGAAATTTTGATCGCATTTTGTCTTCTGAACCTACCCATTGGGTGAGTGATCGTTATGCGTCTTCTGAACGCCTTGATACATTAGCTGTCAAATTCAACTCTCAAAGGTACACACCAACATGTTGTCTCAAATGATCAGAAAAATATTACGATCATCTAACACGCAACTGTTCAGTTGATCAGAAGTACACAACAATGCGCTCAGAAGGTAAATACGCAACAGTTACTGAGCTGTTGCGCCTTCTGAACGTGCCCATTGCATGTTTGAAACTTGTGTTTGTAACAATGTTCCTTGTGTATTCGTCGCCTTATTCTAATAACCCAGTTATGCATACTTGCACAGCATGAACCAATTAGAACAGATCTGACCGGTTGAGAAGCAGCCATTTGTAATAGCAATTCAGAAAAAAGTGTGTGACGTTCGTAATTTTGAAGTTTGCTATTTCTGTTTTGCTTGATTTTTAAGCAATTTTCAATACATTTTTTGTGCAAATGTAATTAAAATGAAGTGCGCGGTGATTGGTTGCAAAAACACGTACAAAATAATAAATTGATTAGCACAAACATGTGCTGCAAAATTGCTTGCATTTTTTTCTTTATGCTTCGTCTTGATATTATTTGTTTACTTTTCAAAGAAAATATCATGGCGCCGAAATTACAAACGTCAGCCTGAAAATTACTTTTTTCTTTCGCTTCATCTTGTCAGATCTTGTGTAGTTGGATCATGCTTGCACTGCTATACCATATTTACGTAAAAATCAAAACCCAACAGAATTCTACATGTTAAGTGCAACGCGTTGGGTAACCGCTTACTGCCATCTCTAAATTGGCGCGTCAAGCAACTGTCAAAAATCCTCATGCTCATACAATTTGTATGAAGCATCCGACAAAAACGCGGCGCTAACGCCGAGCAAATGGAATTTTCATTTTTGACAGGGCGTCACATATTGAAGTTGGATGCAGAAGACGGAAAGAAAGAGAAGGTACAAAAAAGTGGAAGAGGAAACGAGAATAAAAACGAGAGGACCTGAGAAAACGTCAAAAATAACGACGCGTCGATTTGGTGATAGCGCGCGCTGACACTCGTTGACAATGGATAACGCAACGCTTAGCGCTCCAATTTAGGGACGGAAGTTACACGTAAAGCCCATTTAACAGATTCTTATGTGACAACTCTCATGCAAAGCTAAGTATGCATAACTGGGCTATAAAATGCATTACCAGGAATCCTTATGTGAAATGTAAACGTAGCTTCATTCACGTAATAGCAAATAACTAATAAGATCTGGTAGCCCTATAAGTTTGTTCGTTTTTTTGGCATTTTGGAAAAACGAAGCATTTCCTATACGGTAATTTATAATGGCGCCGTTTTGTAACGTGAGCAAACGTTTTCGATTTTTTTTATTTTTTCGAGTATATTTAATGAGCTAAGTTCAACAGAAAATGCAAGAAATGAAGTGAGTGTTGAGAAAAGAATTGCAAATTATGCTAAATGCATTGTTTTGATGAGAAAGTTACAAGCCTGGGTTTAAAAGTTAACCAAGTGAGTTAAGCCAAATTCATAAGAACAGGGCGGATAAAAACTCACCAAGCCTGTTTCAGGTACTTCAGGATTTGCAGGAAAAGCTATTCGCGCTATTAATAAACCGTACGTTATTTTTTTCAGTTAAATAGGTTGTGAAAAGATATACTGCGAAGGGCACATTAAACTTCCCGACTCTTTAAACTATGGACGCGTACACAACAACCAGATCTCTGGCCTCCACCAAGTAAGTAAAAGACTTAATTTTTTTCTTTATTTCGGATTTCATCAATATCTTGCTTTGTTGTTGATTATTTTATTTGTATATAATTTAGATTCATAAAATTGAATATTAAGTTTAAAATATAAGTAGATGTATAAGTAAAAAAATGTGTTGCACATAGCGTTTTCATAGTTGTATTTCTTCATTCCATTTGTTTTCTTTTATGTTTCTATAGTTTTAGTTTAGTGAGTTAAGTTACAATAGTTTAGTTAAGTTTGTTTAGTAGAAATGTAACTAGGCTCATGTTCATTAAATCATTATACCTCGCAGCAATACCGTTTTTTTTTGTTTTGTTTTTCAATACATACGATTTAATATGTTTCAATTAATTTTTTTAATTGATTTTATAATTGGTTTGATGAGTTCTCCTAGAAGAACTAGAAGATAATTTTTGTTTTGTTTTCTGTAATTTAATTTTATTAAAGCCCCAATACGGAATGAATATCTAATGCAATTCTTGATACTTTGTTTATTTGCAATTTCCTTACCGTCATTTATGTTTTTGTCTAATTTATTTATTGAATTAGCCTATGCGAATAATATTTGTTGGAACGCAACTTTGTCTTCATAACTTTAAGACTAAACTGGAAAGAGTTTGAGAAGTTTGCATTTGCAGATTTTGAGAGAATGATCTTAATTTATGCATATATTTTATGTAAGTATGTATATATGCTATGAGAGTAGTTATTACATACATACAAATGTATTTGAATATGCAATTACTTTTAGTACATACTATGTCAGTACGTAACCTCTTGCTTACCCATACAGTGTGTTAAAGTGCTGTGATAAATGTGCTAATAGGCTTCAGTAGTGAATTTTTAATTTCGTTTCTGTTTTTGAGGCAATCGCCCAGCTAAGGAGTCGTGATGTTGGTGTTGCAGTTGCTGCTGTTAATCAAAGTGTCAATGCATGCGTGTACTCGTATGTGGTGGCGTTTACATTTCTTAATTTATAGACACTTAAACTGTAATTAACATTATGTTGCTTACAAAATATGGTATTCTCCGAGTTCTGCAAAGTCCTTGCATGGTGCACGGATTGCACGGTTTGCAAAGTTGTCCCATACGAAAGCCGGTTTTTACCGTGCAATCTGTGCACGCTGCAAGGGCTTTGCAAGACTAAAAGAATACCCCTAATAATTGTTTAATATACATATTTATGTATGTATTTTATTCAGTATTTATTTTTTTTTTTAGTTTTAGAATTGCTTTAGTAGGTGAATGCTACAACTCATAGTTAATTTTTCAAGAAAAGAAAAGTGTTATAGACAATTACAAACTAATGGCCTTATTCATAAAAAATAAGGTATGTAAATTTATAAAGCTCTTTAAACCTACTTTATTTTTCATGAATAAGGCTATAAGGATTTTGACAAATTTTAGAAGTAGATAGGTAGTGCTTCGTGGATTTAAATCTTAGTATATCATTAGACGACGTACAAGCGCGCTGGTGATGTGTGTTACCTTCTTAATATGGCTATGAAAAATGCTAATGTAGGTGGCGGCCGCTGTGCAGTGCGCGTGGGTTCAAGCCCGGTTCAACACAACATCTAAAAAATAATAATAAAACAAACAAGTTTTTTTCTAATAGCCATAGCTTCTCATAAAAATATAATCGCCGTTCGGAGTCGACGTAAAACTGTAGGTCCCTCCCCTTTGGGTGACAACCTCTAGGTGCACGTCACAAATCGGAGGAGAAGCTCGGCCAAACACTAACATGTGTACATACCTATGTGTAAGCGCCAATCTATTATTATTATTATTATTATTAAGTGACGTCAGGTTAGCGCTTCATGATAGGAAGTAAAAAAAAAATCTACATATTTATGTAAAATTGTATGGCACTTGGATTAAAATAAGGTAAATAACGTCCCTACATACATAATTGGCAAACGTTTTAAGAGATGATCATACAGAGCAAATGAAATTAGGCTTTTGAAAACCGTTCGAGTCAAGAAATAAGAATTGTTATACATGTGCATATATAAATACAAAGTGCCGACTTAACAGCTTTGATGTAGGCAATAGGTTTGTTCGTCGAAAATCCAGCAAGAATTATCGAACACTCAAAATATCAGAGAGTAAGAAAAAATTCTCTCTCATGTTGAGAAATTTGCTCATTTTTGCGCGAAAGCAAATTTGCAGGCATTTGCAAGTTTCCCTGCCAGCTGGTGTACACGGTTGCATTTCATGCATAGTAAATTTTTATAGAACTTTTAAAATTCTTTCAGATGGACAAAAACAGGATATACATGTATGTATATTTCTTGTTGTTCTGACTTTCTTTAACATACATTTCAATTTCTTTATCGTACTAGCTGTTGGGTTTCTTAAATCGACTCTGGTTGCAATTGAATTCCGATTGCGAAGACAATTTTCTTCCGCCGAGTTAAGTTCAAATCATTGTAATTAACTAAATTAATTATATCAACAAGTATTTACTTCCTTTTTTTCATAAAAAAAAATCGCTCATGTTTATAAATGTTTAAATTTAACGAACTTATTTATTCAAATTATCGTAGACAAAAATACAACCATGTGCCACAATCATATGTTTTCGTGATTGTAAATTCTTGCTGGCTAAAATTTTTCCAACAAAAATTTGCAACTTCTCTCGGGAGAACTCTCACTTAGCGC